AACGCATTTTAATGTCATCCCTAAAATAGCTGTGTTAGGGCAATTTATTAATTTTATGTGTGCATAAATTCTGTGTATGTTCTGGTAACAGGGCAAGTGTAAGCAAATAGAGAAAATAATCACATCTACCACCAAAGAGCTTACACAGCACCACTAGTAAGCAGCTTTCTGAACAGAACTGCAAGATTCTTAAATGGAGATTTCCCAGCTCTTTGATTACCAAATTTGAGGCCCTAGAAGGTCTGGAAGCATGTGTGATTCATCTTTGCAGGAACCCCAGGCCTATAATGGTGTCTTGCACATTGTAGGCACTCAATAGGTAATTGCTGAACTGTATAATCTTCGGTTTGTCCCCATAATCTAACACCCTCAAAGCACCCAGCTAATTACTTCCTGGAAAAATTCCAAGCATGTTTAATGTTACCTATGTGGTTTTTATCTTTTATTTTTCCTCAAAACTGTAGCACTGTAGCACTGTCCTTCCATTGTTCAACGATTTTCTTGAGCGGGCACCAGTAATAGCTTCATTCTGGAAAATTACATTATTCTATGTCTTTTTTCCTTCTGACCTTAATGTCATTTACTTGATTAACAGCTTCATACAATATTTTTGGAAGTAAATACACCACAGCAGATTTAAAGCATCATTTAAAAGAAAAAAAAAGTGCCAGTATTTTGCAATTTGGAAGATAGGTAGTTTCTCTTTCTGAATACAGGTTAAGAAAATACATAATAGGTATTAACAGAAGAGCTGAATATATTCTGATTTTGTTTATAAGATCATAGCTTTTTAAAAAGGGAATTAAAACATGACTACATACCTGGTCGTCATTAAAAAGTAAGCCTGAAAAAAAAAAGTATGCCTGTATTTTGTGGCATTTAAGAAGTGTCCAATTTCAAAATGTATTGTGTAATTTAACTTTTAAAAGTTAAATATTAAAAATGTTGCATTTAAAATGAATCACAAAAAAGACATGTTCCAGGAGGCAAAACTTTTGGCAAAATTAAAATATGATTTTATTATTGCACAAGTTTGAATTATTCCTATATTTTATAGTCTTCATCCAGTATTCATTTGAAGTGATTTTTGACTCTTGAAACACTAAATTTAACACTCTTCAAAACAAAATAACCTCTCTTTTCTACTTATGGGCAAATGAACTAAATACTAAGGAACGGCCCTGTCTGGGCCTTTGAACACAGACTAAAAGAGATGAAATACTGACTGATGTACATAAATATTAGAGAATCCAGTTTGACTTGATAAAAGGATGAGTTTGTTTCATAATATGACAAAATACTTCTCTTTCCTGAAAATGCTCTTAGTCTGACCATATACACTGTTACTTCAGGGATGGGAGTGGTAGTGGAGTGTAGGCAGGGATACCAAGACTGTACAGCTATCAAGAGAGATGTTACATTCATTTCTTGGAATGCACTGGGGTGGAAATGCAGGAAGTAGTGAGGGAAAATAAACCTCTGATTTCACCAAAACATAAGGTCACACTGAGAGCAGCAGTCTATGTTCATTATTTAAAATCTTGCTGTTCCCTAAATCTGTCACACAATCCATTAAAAGCTTCCGACACATGGTTTTATAGTATTTCACCAAGATTTCAGCACCTGAAAAACCTTAGCAAGTTACAGTCTTAAATTTGAGAAATGACTAACTCAATCATTTCATTCTTCACTTTTTTTCCTTGCATATTTATGTTTTTCATTAAAAAATGAATAGTGAGGAATTTCAGGTACTTAACTCACCAAGAAATGAAAACTTCACCTCTTTAGGGGCATATAAAATGGAAAGAAAAAGATTCAACAAAAAACTGTGCCAAGGAAATCACTTACAACTGAATATAACAATTACTTAATCATTTTTATCAGGCTCTACCACTTGAAGTGCTTTCAAAGCAAACTCTTAAGTAACATCATTGTTGATAGTATCTGATTTCCTACTGAGCTGAGTTCTTGGTCATTCAAAAGGATCAAGACACTCTGTTTCCCCCCCTCTATTGTTCTGTCTACTGCATCACTGACATCACCACTCTTCCTGGGAGAAATGTACTGCAGCTGATGTTTCAAGAGCCGATATAGGCAGTGCTTCTCTCCAACACCTCTTTTCTAATTTCCCTTTGTAAAACCCCTGGTTTAGATACTGTTAAGGCTCAGGAGAACCTACATCCAGGCCGATTTTGCAGAACTGCCTATTCTATGTGTGGGGTTGGGGGCAGCTCTGAGACCACTCCTGTAAGATCAGCCCTGACACTACGAGTATGCTTTTCCCTTCTGGGACTAAGTGCGTAATAGTTTCTAAGAGGCCATCACCTGGAAATAACTTGTCTGGAAATGAAACCCAAACTGGAAAATTGATCCAGATAACCTTGGATGATGGATCTAGCCAGACTGTAACCACAGACTTTCTGTTTCAACCAAAGTCCTTTAAACTTAAGCCATCTTGAAGTGGTGTGGCTCAAGCAACTTAAAAAGAAAAAAAACCCCAAAACTCCCACATGTAACAATGTGACCACACCGCAAATACACACCACTGCTTTTGAGGTTCCCTACAGATTTCCCTCCTTATATACATTATCACAGTCCTCACAGTGCAGGAGCCTGTGTCTCTATAAACTTTGGGCCAACATTCATTTTCTGAACACACAGTGTGTGCAAGGGGCCTAGGGAATGGCGGGAGTGCAGTAATCAATCTAAAAGACAGAAGTCTGGGAAGTCTCACCTAGGAGTAAAGTGGAGGCTACACATCTTGGGGTGCTCAATAGCATTCAATGAGTGGGAGAATAAATAATAGAGCTTAGAGTCACAGAGAGGTAGTCCGGGTCAGAGATGAACCTCAAACATGGGAGCCCCCAAGAATGCTCAAACATTAGGGCAAAGAGATGTAAGTCAGAGCCCACTTAGGAGTGTGGGTCCCTAGGTAGATACATGTTGTCACTGGGGCAGGGAAATAATGAAAGAGCAGCGTCTGGGAGGCCAGGAAAGAGACTAAGTCTGGGTCGGTCAATATGCCTGCAAGATATGCCAGCAAAGAGGTTCAGCAGGCCCTCAGAAGGACACCGTGTGCAGCAGAAAAGCTGAGGCAGAACTGCAAGATGGAGACACCTTGGCTGTTCCTAGATGGAATTCAGGCACGGGCACCACGTGCCACAGTGCCAACAGGAAAAGGAGAAAAGAGGTGGCCATGGCCTTCCTCGGGGTCATGCCAGTCCTGCGTGTGAGCTGGACAAGACCAAGCTCTCCCAGTACATTGGGAATGTCGAGCTGTGGACACTCCGGGCACTGGGAATAAGCCTTTGGTTCTACCGGGATGTGTCTCCAGGGTACCCTCCTGCCCCTATACTGGCGCGCATCTCACCATTCACCCCTCACGGGGCTTCACCCGGTTCCCACTCTCACACTGGGCGTAATCACGGCTGGCATCGCTTTCTGGAGGGGGGATGTTTCAAAAACGAACCGAGTTGGAAAATCTCCTGGTGTGTGTCCTTTTAATTTAAACTAAAATCGCTCCTCCTGTCCCTCGGTGATTCCCCCTTCTCCAGGTCCGGTGGAACCCAGAGCGCGCCCTGGGCGGGCGGGCGGGGCGGGCCTCCCAGGCCCAGGAGGGAAGCGGGCAGGGCGCGGGGAAATTCTTTAAACCGCGATCAAAAACTCAAACGAGACAAAGGAAGCTGAAAAATGGGAAGGCGTGGCTGTCAGCGTTTCCAAGGCAGTTTCTCTCTCTCTCTCTCCCTTTTTTTTTACCCCCAGCGTAGGAGACAACGTTCCCTAGAGGGCAGCAGACCCCACAGACGAGAGCCCGCGGGCTAAAGCAGGCGCAGCAGCCCGCACCCCTGGGCTCCCCAGATTCGCACCTTGGCGCGCGCGGCACTCGCAGACCCCGGGACCCCCGGCGCGCTCGGAGCTCGCGGGGTGACCCGCGGGCGGCCAGCATCTCGCCCGCCTCTGCTTCAGAACCCGAGCCCGAGGACCTCGATGCAGAGGACCGCTCGTCCCTACAACGCCCGCCGGGCGCAAGGCTCATCCTCCCAGGAGGAGCCTTCTCAAAGTCGGGACTGGAAACGCTTTGGCCTTCCTCGAATCATCTCCGCAGTTCCCGAAGCTGGGCGTGGAGGTTCATCCCAGTGACGATCATAGGCGTCTAAAGCTAAAAGTCAGTGCCTGCGGCCGGATCCCCTCTGGGGTCCAAATAATCGTGGCCTTTAATAAAGAGCCCACAAAGTACAAGCTTCGGAGTTTATATCTGAAGCACTGTTGGGAGGCACACGTGGCTAAAACGTGTCATGACAGTGAACAGTAACAATAACGGCAATCACAATGGTAATAATAATAAAGTACGAATGCACAAGAAATTTCAAGTGCAAAAGAGGAAACTACGATTAGACCCTTGAACCTACCACTCACTCTACCGACCCTATATACCTGACCCCTCTACACCCTATGCTACAGCCTCGCACAGTGCAAGAGGCACGGAAGCGGGGCTGGTCCGTCTTTGCTGACCACGGCCTCCTTAGTGCCCGGGGATGGGAGGGGAGGCAGTGTCCAGCATAAATTGCACTAGTTCAAGGGCCCGGCCTGAATGAATGAATGAATGAATGAATGAATACATGCTCGGCCTGACTCTGCAGCTCTCAGAGCGTAGGGTTCAAGGGACAGGTGAGCTCCGTTCCCGTGGCGGCGGGTGGGTGGAGGGGCAGCCCCTCCTCCTGACGACCCCCCGCCTGCAATCCCAGCAGGGCCGTCCCCGGTGGCCACACGTGCGCCTCCCCAGGGACCCCCCCCACCCGCGGCGCAGGCCCCGCCCAGCCCCGCCGCGCGCGCACGCACGCGCCCTGCGGTCCGGCCGCCCGCCTGGCCCTCACTCCGGGGCACCCCCGCGCCTGCGCCCGCTGGGGGGCGCCCTCCCACCCCGCGCGTCTAGACGCGGGCGCCTCACGAGCTTCCACTGCGCCTACTCCCGCACCCTGCGCGCGCGCGACGCCTCCTACCTGAGGGTCGGCCAGGGAGGCGGGTGGAAGGGCTGAGGGGGGCTGAACCAGACCATGGCACGAGGCGGGAGGCGGGAGGCGAGCGAGGGAGCGGCCGCGGCCGCGGCGGACTGTCCGGGCGCGGGGGCGCGCGCGCGCGCTCCCGGCCCTCGCTCCCTCCGTCGACTCCCGGCCAGAGCCCTACCCTGCTGCCGCGCGCCACCCGCCTCGCCGCTCCTAATAACAACGGCGCCCGGGGTCAGGTGGCCGCGCGCGGACAGTGCCGCCATTGGCCCGGCGGGGAGTGCGGCGCCTCAGGATTGGCTGGGGGGCGGGGCCTCTGCGGGGCGGGGGCGGGGCTGTCGGGAGGCGGGCGGGGCGGGGGCGGGGGCGGGGCCAGGCCGTGGTCCGCGCCTTTGTGCCCGGCGCGCGCTCTCCGCCCGCTCCGGCTGCAGCGCCGGCTGCATCAATAATTCAGAGCGGCGGCAGCGGCGGGTGCGGGCAGCAGGCAGTGGAAGCGACGGGGACCGAGCGGCAGCGGCTATGCATCCAAGTGTGGCTGGGCAGCCCCGGCACCCCTGAGGCCCGGGTGGGGCTCCGGGTGCATCGCGCGCTGGGCACGCTTGCCCGGGAGTGAACGGAAGAGCCAGTAGTGTTCACATCGGCGTCAGCGGAGCTGCGAACGGAGCAGAGGAGGGGGGCTCCGGAGCCGGACTGGGGCGGGGTGGGGGCGGCTGGCGCAGGCAGCCCCCGGGGTGGGGGGCGGGGTGGGCGCCGTAGCCGCGATGCTGGGCGTCGTGGAACTGCTGCTGCTGGGGGCGGCGTGGCTGGCGGGCCCGGCCCGTGGGCAGAATGAAACGGAGCCCATCGTTTTGGAGGGCAAGTGCCTGGTGGTATGCGACTCCAACCCCACGTCCGATCCCACCGGCACAGCTCTGGGCATCTCGGTGCGCTCCGGCAGCGCCAAGGTGGCTTTTTCTGCCATCAGAAGCACCAACCATGAGCCGTCTGAGATGAGTAATCGCACCATGATCATCTATTTCGACCAGGTGAGTGCAACATGCAGATTGGGTTGGTGGGGTTGGGGGAGCGGTGGGAGGCAAATGTCCGACCCTCTCCAAGGTCTCGGCGGAGGTTGATGGCGAGAGTTCGGGACTGACTCTTGCCTACCTACTTCCTTTCGTTCCCGTCTCCTTGTAGGTACTAGTGAACATCGGGAACAACTTTGATTCAGAACGCAGCACTTTCATCGCCCCGCGCAAAGGGATCTACAGTTTTAACTTCCACGTGGTAAAAGTCTACAACAGACAGACTATCCAGGTCAGCTCCCGCCCCAGGGCCAGGCCGGGTCTCGGTAGGGGCAGTTAGCTGCGCGAGCGTGCTTCGGGTGGAGAGATGAGGGGGCCGCTGCCGCAAGTGCCGGGGGCTGCTGGAAGGGACTGTAGCGGGCCTCAAGGTTCTCTGGTGTGACTATCCCTCGCTTCCGCCGTCTTCAGCTCTTGGAACCTAGCCCCATCCCCGGGACCTGAGTTTACTGCCTCTGCCTCTGGGCCCCTCCAAAGTGGTTTCTCAGCTTTTCTGCGAAACTCTGGGGATTTCACGTAGCGTTTGCTCTTAGCACCACTGACCTTTATCGCTGTCGGGAGCTTTCTAAGATCTGAGACCTGCCTTTAGCCCCACAGGCCGGCCGCTGCCCCTTCCCTTGCACCTGCTCCCAAGCTTTAGTGACACTGGTGCACTTGCATTGGGCACCAAGCTCAGTAGTCACCTGCGTTCCTTTAGGGAATGATCCCAGATTAAAAAAAAAAAAACAGCTGCACCAAACCCTAGAGAATGAAGCTTTTGGAGAAAGAAGGGAGCAGGGCATAGCACCACTTTCCCTGGCGCCAGCCTTGCCTCAGCTGTACTCACCTATCCTTTAGCTAGATTCCCTCAAGGTGTTCAGGTTTGCTTTGGGTGGAGACAGAAGGTGGGGCCACCGCTGGTAAGAGGACTGCTGCTGTTGCCTCGGCCAGGCAAGGGCAAAACCAGGCCGCAATTGGTGGCTGAATCTGGGGTGGGAGTTGAGCCTGGCCTTTGGGATGAAGCAGGAATCGCTGGCCTGCAGAGATTTCTCAACAGCTGTCTCATCAGCTGCAAGCCGTGCTCCCCACTGTATCGCAGCACAAGTAGGATGGAAAGGAACTGTAGCTTTCAAACATTGGGGTGTGAGTGTGTGTGTGTGTGTGTGTGTGTGTGTGTGTGTGTGCTCGAGAGGCTCGTGCATTTTCTCAAAAGGGTTAAAAGCAGAGTCCTCTGAGCTTCTCCTGGAGGATGGGGGTAGGTGTGTGTATGTGGTTGTGGGGGGCGGGGATGGGGAACCAGGCCTCAGGACTCATGAAATGGAACAAGAGTGTGGCCAGCATTCCCTCTAGCATTCAAGGAATGAAAGTGACTGTCATTTGGGGGTCGGAGGCAGGGACCCTTCTGGTTATCCAGAAGAAATGTACTTTGCCCCATTCCGACCCGCAGCAGCAGGGAGCTTTAAAGTTTCTCTCTCCACCCTCCCCACCCTTTTCTCCTGGGGCTTTCAGGCCTGAGCCCTTAGCTCAGAATTGGAGGTTGGCTTGCCTCTTGCTCACTCCCCATCCTGGCTGCACCTCTGAAGTGGGCCTTTCTCTTCCCCAGGTGAGCCTCATGTTAAACGGGTGGCCTGTGATCTCAGCCTTCGCCGGTGACCAGGATGTGACCCGGGAGGCCGCCAGCAATGGAGTTCTAATCCAGATGGAGAAAGGCGACCGAGCATACCTCAAGCTGGAGCGGGGGAACTTGATGGGGGGCTGGAAGTACTCAACCTTCTCGGGATTCCTCGTGTTTCCCCTCTGACTGGCTGCTCCCCCCAGAATGGAGGCAGGGAGAGGGTGAAGGCAGGAGGAAGGCAGGAGGAGGGATGAAAAAAGAGGCCAGAAAGCGGCACAGCCTGCAGCTTCCTATCGGGTGCCCGATTGTATCTGGTAAGAGGTGCGCCCGGGAGGACAGCTTTGGCCATTTCCTCTTCAGACAAAGTCAATTCTGCTTAGCTCTGCACACTCCCCTTTCCAAAAATAAACTCACCTCCCCCACTACAATCGCAGTAATCAAGAGAGACTGCCTTGTCATTGTTTCTTAGCCCCATGTTCATGCTCCCTACAGTTTATATAAAAAAGAAACTCCATATTTCACCATATAATGTGAAATATCTTCCTCCCCCTGCCCCTCTGAATGGTTCTACCTGCTGAAATCGAGATACCCGACCCACCCCCTTTAAGTTTGGAGAGAAGGGGTAATGGTTTCCTTATTTGTTTTTCTTTTTGGCTGGGGGAAGATGATTTGATTTGGCAAGTATTGCTGTTCTTAAGACACCAAACAAGAGTTAATTCGCTGAAGATACCCTGTGTCTTCTGCTGCTCCTTAGCAGAGAAAGGACTCGCCCTACGTTAAAAATATATATATGTATAAATATTTATCATTTGTACACAAAGAACTTTTCCCAGTGGAAACTGGCTGTGTTTCCGTATTTCTGTGTCCTATTCGGAGTGATCGTGAAATCTAAGGCTGCTTGCTGTTCTGACGCTTGTCAATGCCCTCGTGTTCTGTGGCTCCACCAACGGCCGGAGGCTCTTTGGACGCGTCCTCGCCGTCTTGTAACATACGTGTGAATAGCCAAGATTTAATTTTGCTTTAATCCAATAAAGTTGAAGTGGGACTTTTTATTTTTCTGAAACAGCTTTCTAAACTCCGTATCTTCGCGCCCCCGGCCCGAGGTTTGGGGGCAGGGTGCGGAAGGACGAATTTCAGGAGCCTTGAAGAATGCCACGTCGAAGAAAGGCCGGGGGACGCCAGGGTTTGCCCGCCACGCCGCTCGGCGCTCCTTCCTGCGCCAAGCCTAGGGCTAGCTCAGCTTTCGCCGCGGCTCCCTGCTTAGGCGCAAACGTACGAAATTTGCCCGAAATCTTGCTAGGTTAGGCGCGGCCGCCGATCTGGAAGCGAAATTTGTTTTTTGAGGGGTGTTTTTCCTTCCCTTTCCCTCCCAATCTAAAGGCATCAGGAACAATCCCAATTCGAGGAGCCAGAACCAGCCTGCCCGGATTGGCAACGCTTCCCAGCCGCCTTCTACCCCCGGATTTCTCCAACCCTCTTTTCGCTCCACAGTCCCCAAGCAGCGTATCTTTTATACCATACAGCACCTCCTCTGAATCCGGAGTCGGCCCGCCGGCAACCCCAGACGCCCAGGAGGTGCGATCGTACTCAAGGCGAACTTGTATTCAAAGAGGTTCGCCCAGGAGTTTGATTGTATAGGGACATAATGTGAACTCAAAACTGAAATAAACGACTTCGTTTTAAGTCTGGAAGTCTGATCCCATCCCTTCCGCGGCGGGGCGGTCAGACACCCGAGAGCGTGTGGGCGGGCGGCCGCGGGCTGGGGAGCAGTGCCCGACCCGGGGACGGGGCGCCCAGGTCCCTGATTCTCTTGACAGGCCATTTCCTGAAGGAGATTCAAAAAAACGAGCCTAAGTAGCGACTCGGGTCTGGGGGCTCATCAAAGCACCATAAGTAACGCTTCCCGATTTATTCCTGCAGCAGCTTGTCCGGGAGAGGGATGCGCCCATCCTGCGGCTTGAAACTCGGATCCGCGCGCGCTCCGTAGGGGCGCGCGTCCCTAGCGGCCGCGCTCAGCAGCCCCTGCGCGCCCGTGAGGGGATGCCAGCGAATTGGGCTAAGACGCAAAGCCAAGTTTTCACTTTTCGTGCACGGCGAAGAGGGGGTGAAGCGCGATAAAACATGCGGGGTGAATTTCAGATGGAAAAAAAAAAACACCAACTACGCTTGCTTTGTTAAGAGACACTTTGGTACACGCTTTTCTCCGCGTTCTTCGGCTTGGGAGCCGGCAACCCGGAGAGCGGCGGACACGCTCGACCCAAACGCTGTGCTCAAGTACCACCAGCCTGCCAGGCGCGCAAGCTGGGCGCTGGGTGCTCTCGGCAGGGTGCAGGGTCGTGCTTTGAGCGAGGATCAGCAAAGTGGTTCCAAGGAGGGAGAGGTGCCGGGAGTGTGCCTCTCTGGGTCCGTCTAAAGACCCGGGAATCAAAGCGGCTGGCGGAGACTGTCCCGGGACACTGAGGGCGCAGCCTCCTCCCCAGCGCAGTTGCGCAGGATTTAGTCCTTTTCTTACTGCACTGGCTATGGTGTGCTAGTGCCGCCGGCTCTAAAAGCTGAGGCTGGGGGTCTGGGGTGAAGGCCAACCGGAAGCAAACGGGTCCCAAAGGGCATGGAGAAGGAGCCGTTCTCTCTGGACTCTTTTGCGGCTCCTGTCTTCCCATACTGCAGGCAAACCTGGACATTGGACCTTCCGCTGGTTGCTACTTCCTCCGCTTTTTGTTGGTGTGCCCCGCCCCCACTCTCTTCATGCCTCTGCACCTCTGTTCCTTCGCTTGAGGTCAGCTTGCACTTCGTCCTGCAGTACTTTTCAAACCCGTCTTCCTGGGGCATCCGAGCAACTCAGCTGGCAGCCGCCTCCTAGAAGGTGCAGTCCCTGCTCCTTTCCCCAGACCCCCTCGGGACAGCCTTGGACTGGGCCTCTCTCTCTCTCTGAGGGCAGTGGGGTCCACACCAGCAAGCCCTTGGAAATGCTAAGCTGGTGTCCCTGGCTCAGAGGGCTCAGGAAACTGTGGGATTCTCTAGCCCCCTTTAACTACCCTCTCCCTGAGGCCCGAGACACCCATTAACTATGCCAAGAGGGCCTGAGTCTGCTCTCCCCTGGGACTTAGAGTTTCAGTGCATGTCAAACCAAGAAGCACATGTCAATCAGGACACTTCCCTGGCCTGGGGATGGCAGGAGGAGGACTGGAGGGACCAGTCTTATGCCTCTGCCAAAGACAGGTGGGTTGATGATCTTCATAAAATTGTGCTCCATTTGGGAGGACCCAGAAACGCCAGAGGTGCTCCAGCTTCTCTGAGTTTCTCTGGACATGGGCCTGCCTCCTTCATTCATTAATTCTTTAATGCTAAGGAAAGGAGCCGACGGGGCCTCAGCACAATGCTCTTATTCAGCCTAGTCCTCTATTCAAAAGCCCCTTCTTCTACCTGGTCACTTCCTTCTCTGCAACCCTGATATCAGTAATCATCACCTCCTCCAGGAAGTCAGAGGGACAAAATGATGACACCCATCCTACACACACACTCCTGGTCTGGGAGAACCCCTCTAACCGCCGCACCTATCCACTCCCACCTTCCCTAAAAATGCTGCTGGGTCTGGGTGGGCGCTGGGAGGTTTCTAGGACCCAACGAGCCCACACCTGGCTTGTAGGCCCGGGATTTTTCCAGGCTGCGTCTTGAGCTTCTTGGGAGTCGCAGGACCTGCGTCCTTGTCGTCTGTGCGGTCTGCTAGGCCCCACTCAGCTTCCCCAAACTCGCTCGTTCGCGTTTGCGGCTTCCACACTTTGCAGTGCCGGGAGAGCATCCCCGAGCAGCGCGCGCCAGTGAGACCGCTTCCAAAGAGAACATAATTAGAAGCTGGAGAAGGAGCCTCCCCGCGGCTCCCTGCTTGCTTTAAGGGACGCCCGGATCCCCGCGCCGCCTGCGCGCGCCCCGCTCTCTCGGCGGCTTCTGGCTGCTGCGCTGCCTGCCCGGAGTTGCCGCCGTCCCGACCGCGCGAAGCTCAACTCTCATCAGGCCGGGCGCTGGGAGCGAACTCGAATTCTCTCCAGGCCAGGCCAGGCTTGGTCCACACAAGCCGACTCCTCGCCACATCCTGTCTCCCGCCTCCCGGGGAGCCCTGGACCCCCATCTCTGTCATCCCTACTGGCACTGAACGGTGAAACCCATAGTGGGCTCTAGGGGCAGCTAGAGGAGGGGGCCAGGAACCCGCGGTTGGGCTGGTGGTCTCGGGGAACAATCTCCGCATTCCGAGGGCAGACAGAGTCTGGCGTCCCCTGCCAAACCCAACAGGTCCGATCTCCGCGCCCAGGCCCTCTCACTGAAGATGCGTCCCAGTGTCCCTGAGCCCCAGGCCTGCCTGTTTCTATTGGGACAGAAATGCCGTCACAATGGGCGCCCGGGTGGACCGCCCCAGTATTGGGGATTCTGGCGCGATCCACAGACCGGATGCACCTGCCTACTGTAAGGGGCAGCGGCCCGGGGATAGGGGAGGTGGGGGAGGGGGACAGTCCGGCAACTGAACTGGTGGCCTGGAGAAGGAAGGGGCACAGCGCCTCTGAGTGGGGAGGCCAGTCACAGAGTCCCCTCCCCCCACCCAGCTCCCCACCCTTTCAGTGTATCAAAGGAAGACGATTACCTTACCCACAAGTGTCCTTCAACCCTTCCTCGCCCCAGCTCAGGGGATGTACATTCTTCTGCGCACACATCCCTGTGGGTGCAGAGCCTGGTTTGTAGGCCTACTCCCTTTAAGGGGTGAGGCCTCCCTGTCCGACACCTCTTCCTTTGTCCCGATCTGGCACAGAGCAGGTGTCCTGTGAAACCAGACTGCTAGGTCAGATTGTGGACCCTGAACCCCACCAGGGAAAAATGCCCTTCAGGGCACTCCCTGAGCCTCCCTCTTCAATCCCAGCAGTGCTGACCCAGAGGTGCTAAAAGACCACCACAGCAGCCGACCATCACGGACCTGGCCCTGCCATCTACACAAAGACAAAAACCTTCCCAGGTTCTTGTTCTTGTTCTGTCCCCTTCCATTCACTCTGACTCTACGGGCCTTGACCCTCAGCAGATGGCAATGAGTAGGGAAGGCAGGAAGAGGCCCTGCTGAAATCTTCTGGTGGTGTTGGTTTTGTTGCTGGCTCTTTATACTGGAAAAGTGTTTTTCTGTGCAGAGTGCAGGCTGCCTGCACTTCAGGCAACAGTGAGGAGATAGTGCAGCTGAAGTCAGGACTGGAAATTTCATGATCACAGAGAAAGGGCTTCCAGTTGGTTGGTTGGCTCTGGACTGGCCAGAGCCTGGGGATGTCTTTGCCCATCTCAGTAAGACTCTAAAGAGGTTTGGGAAGAGAATTTGGGGAAGGGACTGGCTTCACCCCCTACTGAGTGGGATCCAATTTTACCTCAACTACAACTTGCTCTCTGACCTGGCCCATCAGCACCAGCCTCTCCTGACGACCTGAACCTTCCATTTAGACCTCTATTTAGATTTTACTCTGATGACAACTGTTGGACACCAAGCCCCAGGAGTGTCAGCACGCACAGTCCTGGGATTGGTAGGGCCGCTGGAAAGGTGCCTTGCATAAAGTGAGTGAAGGGTCAACTCATGTGTCAATGGGTAGGTGGTTGGAGGGAGCATAGTTATATCACATGTGTCTGCTTGACCAGACTGAATCCATAAATGTATCTCTCTGGTTTACAGTTGCATTCACAATGCCCAGCACAGTTCCCACAATAATCTAAAAAGTATTTCCTGATGAATAAATGAATGAAGAGTTTGGCCATGGGACTCTCTGACCTGTGAGATTCTAGAGTGCAGGCACTGTGTACTCCTCTCGAACTCCCTACAGCCCACTGGCAGCAATGTTTCCTTTAGAACTTAAGTAAATTATGCACTTTATCTGGGCCTTGTACACTTGCTACACAGCTTCTTAGAGGGCAGGGAGCATATTTTTATTCTCTTTAAAGTGTAGGAATATCATCTCCCCTCCCAACATCTAATTACACTGCTTGCTTTCCGGGTTATTTATTTTAAACCCAGGATGAATCACTACATCTGG